GTCATCACGTTCTCATCAAGGTTTGATCACATTCAATTTTTCACCCTTTATTGGTTACCAAGAATTTCACTGTTCTATTTATCTTATTTTTTCCACGTCATGTAGAGTTAGGAAATATGTTCAAGCCATTTGTATTTCCTCGGTATAGGGCCATGTTCTCTGTTTCCCACCGGGGCCTCAAAATCCCATGTATAATTTTTTTATTGGGTATAACTTGACGCACACAACTCACGTACTCCACACTCACACCACACGTACATACACGCGTGCGCGTTCGTACACACGTAAAGAAGAGATTGGGAGGCGTTGCCGTCTCCAGTGCGCGGGAAACACACAGTACCACCGAACGCGCATGCGTACGTGTACCCTAAAATTTCTAGAAAAAATCTAAAAAATGTGTGATCATCTAGGTTTAAACCCTGGTGGGTAACGTCCCACTGAACAGACCTACCGCTCCAACACAAGCGCAACTTAGACTCACCGTTGAGCGAGCATTCTTGCAAACGAAGGCAGGCAACTCCTATGCAGGTGAATAGCCCAGGCAACTAGCCTAGGGTTCTATCCCTAGTCCCTACTAGAGGCTTGTTTGGTGCCCGCCTATGGACTCCCCATCGGAGACGTGGCCGTGCAAAAAATACGGAGGATGATTTGTTCGCTAAACATTTGGCAAACTGCAACGCGAAAAGTGAACTGGGCGCGCGTGACTAAGGCTGGCGGTGCCGCAACTCGATGAACGGACCAAACGTGCGACTAGCTTCTGGCACGAAGCCTACAGCGAGGTCTGGCTCTGAACCAAACAGAGCCTAGGTTTGTCGGGTTCCTTTCCTTGTTTTGAGAATTGAACAAAGAAAGGGCGTGTTCGGCTGGCTTAAAGCCAGCCGGCTGGCTTGTTTTTCCTCTCACAGAATCACTGTTCACGTCCTGTTAGAACAGTATTTTTCTCTCACAACAATCAGCCGGTACAGTATTTTTCAGTCCTGCCGAACAGGCCCAAAGTGGGAAAGATGGTTTCTTCCTCCACTTATCATAAGTGCGAGCCACAGGGAACTAGGGAAGGAGTGAGATGACTTTCAAAAAATTATCATATACTTCCTCTATAGCTTGACATAAGTAGCAAGAGTATTAACTTAAAAGAAAAGTGGGTTTCAAAAAAAACTTAAAAGAAAAGTGGATAGGAATCAACAAATTTACCTAATGAAAATTTACATCCAAGGATTATGACTCCTCATACTCTTCACGAAGAAGACCTGGAAGGTCTCTGGTTAGTGGATCCTCTATTTCCTCAAGGGCACCTGTTTTGTTGGGAAACAATGATTAAGATTACAAGGGATGATTTACTTTCACTAAATATCATGGGGATGTAGCTCAGATGGTAGAGCGCTCGAGAGGTACGGGGATCGATACCCCGCATCTCCATTTCTTTCTTCCTTCTTCATGACATATTTTTTATGAACGTGTCAGGTACAGGTTGGCCTGCCAGGCCAGATGTTGTGACCATTTTCTTTTTGCTTTCTCCAACGAGACCTTGTTTAGATTGGGGTTAGAAATTAGTATTTGGCACTGTAACACTTTCGTTTGTATTTGATAATTATTGTCCAATCATGACCTCACTAGGATCAAAAGATTCGTCTCGTAATTTATAATTAAATTATGTAATTAGTTATTTTTTTTATCTACATTTAATACTCCATGTATGTGTCCAAAGATTTGATGTGATGGAGAGAGAGTGAAAAAACTTGCAATCTAAACAAGGCCCAAAACAAAATTCAAAACGTATAGCGGCTCTCGATTTTTCGTGATTTATTTGCCACTACTCCTGTATATATGGCTAGTTCCGTGATAGATGGCCAAATAGGGCAAGCACGATGGGCCGGCACGGGCCTGGCCCGAAAAAGCACGACACTAGCACGGCACGGCATGCAATGATGTCCATAGTGCCAGTGCTGGCATGGGAACGATTTAGGGCCATGTCTGGGCCGAAGGTTTGACCGTAGTGCCGGCACGAGCTCGGCACGATTAATGGGCCGGCACAATGGTGACCTGATCATTCTTGACCCTTAGATTGATTTGGATTATTGTTCTCCGTTGGATCAGCTTGACCTAGCTATAAAACAACTCCCTCCTCATTCTTCCCCTCCCAGCCGTCATTTCTTTCTCTCGTTACTCCTCCCATCTCCTCTTCACGAGTCCCAACCGCAGAAGTCTCTCGTGCCTCTCCGCCTCGCACTCCCTAGGCCGGCAGCCGGCAACCGGCAGCCGGCAGTCCTAGGCCACTCCTCCCCCCCTCGTCTTCTCCTCGAGGTGCGGCTACGACGGCGGCGACGCGACGGCGTTTGTGCGAGGCACAGCTGCGGCGGCCCGACGGCATTCGTGCGAGGCACCGTTGCGACGGCGCGGCGGGCGCGGCGGCGATGCGAGGGCGCAGCGAGGCCGAGGAGTGGCTCGACGACGGCGTGTTTGTCACGCCGGCGACACGGCTTGGCCGCTTGGCTCGCCGAGCTCCTCGGCTCCTCCCTTGCAACCACGGGCCGTCACGGCCATGGTGGGCTGCCGTGCCTGTGAGCACGGCACAACACGGCTAAGGAGACATAGGGTCGTGCCTAGGCTAAGAGCTGGGCACGGCGGCCCGAGACGGCACGGCACGGTAGGACGTCGTGCCGCATAGTGTCGTGCCCCCATAGTGCCGTGCCGCATCGTGCCCGTGCTCGTGCCGTGCCGTGCGGCCCGGTTGGCCACTGGGCCAACTGAAGCTATGACAAAATTCATGGTTACAGATGATTCATTGATTCTTGTGGGGGCCATCCATGGGTGGAACTGGATGTATGAACACCGTTGGTAAATTAAATGTACTGTTAACTTCAAATCTATTCATATGTTACTACTACTACTTCAAAACTAAGAATCACTTACGGAGGTACATGAGCCGATAGTGATAGGGTTATCACTGATGGTTTAAAAGAAAATGGACATCACCGTTGAATTTTTTGAATCAACCGAAAACGAAAATAGATTATCATTGCCGATCTGTATTAAGAACCCGACAATGATAATTTCATTATCGGGTTTTTAATTCAACCGACAGTTGGGGCTCAGAACCGAAAATATCATCAAATCTAGTTAAGTCTGGTCTCCTCTGTTCTATCAAAATCTTTTAAAGTCTGATTCTCTGGATTCTGTCGGCTCTGTGTCTCTCATTTCCCTCTCTCCCTATGACTGTGAGTCTCCCTATGACTGTAAGTCTCTCCTAAGTCCTAAGTCCCACCCTTGGCCATCTGTCTCCCAATTGACAATCGTCGTAGGGGCTGCTACACATACTGCCACTATATGAAATAATGTAGGATAACCTCTACTTTTCTGACTAATTGTCAGTTTCTCAAGCTTTACTTATGGCCTGTTTGTTTGAGCTGTAGATTTTGTGTACTGGCGTTTTGGCTTCTGACCTTTTGCTATTAACTTTTGAAATGTTTTTTAGCTTCTTAGAACCCCCAAAGCAAAAAAAAAAGGAGCTCCAATCAGTGTAGGTTTTAGCTTTTAGTTTATTTCCTTATAAACTATTTTTTTCTAGTTTTTCAAATACCAACTCAACAACTAGATTGTTTATTTTAGCTTTTAACTTATGAGAGAAGCTAACAAAAAAAAAACAAGATGAAACAAACATATCCTACCTGTTTGGCAGGGCTCTTGCAGGCTCCGGGACATTCCTGTCGGCCGCCCACGGGCCGATAGGTGCCAGCGGGAGCCGCAGAGCCCGAAAAACGAGCTTCTCCGACTCTGGCGGTGTCTGTGACAGAGGAAAGGAGGAGAGAGAAAAGAGGCTCCGGTAAACAGTAGCCCCTCTGTCGGCCCGTGGAAGGCCGCCAGGTGAACAGTGCAGGAGCCGGAGCCCGCGGGAGCTCTGCCAAACAGGTTCAGCTAAGTGCAATTGGAGACGAGACTTTCCTCTGAGCGCCGATCTATCCTGACGTCCTCCTTGACTCCAGTTTACTCTAGAAAAAAGCAAAATGAAGCAAAGGAACGATGACCCCCCTGTGAGACACTGCTTTAGGCAAATCACCACATCACCTTTTCCCTTGATGGTCCATATATAAACATCTAAGAGTAAGACGTACTATAGTCGAACAATAAGTACAAATCTGATACATAACCATTTTTAACCATGAACGGATATTACGCCGGACAAGCTACAAGACAACTGTTCAGATAAAATCACATCTGCAGTCAGAGGTACACAGACTCTGTCCACTTCTAGTACCTACTCCCACTTGCTAATTCCAGATTAAGCTTTGTGTTTATTTTATGCCTTTAACTTCAGCGCGCGCACAACCGCAAGTTGCCATTAGCGGAAAGCATACATAATCCACCACTACGTGCCTTGCAGCTTGACGGCCGAGGACACACGCCAAGAATCGCATTCCATTCCCTGGGCCTCCCTTCTTCCCTTCTCTCTCATTTTTTCCTTTTACACGCCACTTCCTCCACACACACACACCTCGTGCTCTCTCTCTCTCTCTCTCTCTCTCTCTCTCTCGTCTTCTCTCGCTTCAGAACGCATGACAGGAATCGTATAGATTTAGTAATCAGTTCGTTTTCACATAGAACAAGAAAAAGTTTCTCGTTCCAAAAGAGACCTAACTAGTTCTGCCTCCCTGTCGCAAAGGGTGATGTTTTTCTAGCTGTAGCAGAAAATCTTTGGTAAAATAACGAGTTACTCCTTCCGTTTCAAATTATAATTCGTTTGATTTTTTATGTTACTCATTTTGTTCTAAATTATAATTCGTTTGACTTTTTATCCTAGATTTGACCACTCGTCTTATTAAAAAAAAAAAAGTCACACTTATGGATGGCGCGAGGCATGTGGTCATGAGCCCCGATGAAATGCCGGCCGGCAGAGCATTCCACACTCCTGAATCCTGAGCCAAACTCCAAAGCCCGCGCTGCGTGCACCACTGAGCCCTTCGGCCTTCATCATCCTCCTCCTCCACGCGCGCAGCAAAGGATCGATGTCCTATGGCGGCTCCGGCTCGCCGGCGTGGCTGTGGCTGCACGGCGACCTCGAGCTCACCATCCACGAGGCGCGCGGCCTCCCCAACATGGACTTGCTCTCCACCATCCTCCGCCGCCTCTGCCTCTGCCCACCACTGGCGGGGATGACGCCGACGCGCCCACGCTCGCTGCCCGACGACGAGGACAGCGCTCACTGCGCCCACCCGCACCCGCACCTCCACAACCACCATCTCCGCGGCCGGCTCCACCGTCACCACGAGCCCCAGCCGCACGGGCACCTCCTGCTCCCGACCTCGGACCCCTACGCGGCGGTGGTGGTGGCGGGGCCGCGCGAGACGACGGTGGCGCGCACCTACTTGTTCCGCAACTCGGAGGCGCCCAAGTGGGAGGCCAGCTTCCTGCTCCCTCTCGCGCACGCCGCCACCGGCCTCGAGTTCCACGTCAAGGACGCCGACCCCTTCGGCTCCGACCTCATCGGCGTCGCCTCGCTGCCCGCCGCCGCCGACGCGCCCATCGACAAACAGTGGCTCGACCTCGCCCGCCCCGACGGCCGCGGCCCGCCCAAGCCCGGTGGTGGGAGCGCCATCTGCATCTCCGCCACGTTCGTCCCCGCGGCTGCGGCGGCGTCCCGGCAGCGCTCCGGCGACCGCGGCGTGCCGGCCTACTTCCCGCTGCGGCGCGGCTGCGACGTGCGGCTGTACCAGGACGCGCACGTGGCCGACAGCGAGGTGGAGGGCGTCGGCGTCGGCCCTGGGTTCCGGCCCGGGCGGTGATGGGAGGACCTGTGCATGGCGGTACTCTGCGCGCAGCGCCTCGTCTACGTGGCCGGGTGGTCGGTGCACACCAGGGTCCGGCTCCTGCGGGAGGCCATGTCGCCGGAGATGGCGGCCAAGGCGGCCGAGGTGGAGGAGCTCGGTGGAGAGCCCGTGGAGAACATGAGCCTCGGCGAGCTGCTCAGGTACAAGTCCCAGGAGGGCGTCCGCGTGCTGCTCCTCGTCTGGGACGATAAGACCTCGCACGACACCTTCTTCGTAAAGACGGTTCGTTCGTCTTCAAAATTCAAATTCAAATTCAAATTCAAACTCCAACTCAAATTCAAATCGTGGGGAGATTAGTAGCTAGCAGTATATATATTTTGCATTTGCATTTGCATTTGGATTGTTGGTGCAGAGAGGAGTGATGCAGACGCGCGACGAGGAGACGAACAAGTTCTTCGAGTACTCGTCAGTCATCTGCGTGCTGTCGCCGCGTTACCCAAGCAGCAAGCTCGGACTCGTCAAACAAAAGGCAAGCGAGATTGTATTTTTTGTACAAAAATACTTATAAACTCATAAATTTCAAAAAAAATTGAGTACAAATACTTTTGAAATGCTTTGGTTGATCGGAAGGAGTAATTTTGCAATTATTATGGGTCGAATGAAAAACTGAGTGCGACGTGTGCAGCTGCGGCCGTGCAGGTGGTGGGGACGCTGTACACGCACCACCAGAAGTGCGTGCTCATAGTCATCGACACGCCGGCGTCCGAGTCCACCCGCCGGATCACGGCCTTCCTCGGCGGCCTCGACCTCTGCGCCGGCCGCTACGACACGCCCAGCCACAGGCTCTTCCGCGACCTCAACACCGTCTTCTAGGGCGACGTCTACAGCCCCACATTTGGTGTACGTCTCGCTCGCTCGTCGGCCATGAACCTACCCGCAGATTGAAGATGTCTCCATGACGATCTCCATCTGCTTCTTGTTCGTGGGGGACATCAAAGGTCCGCGTCAGCCATGGCACGACCTGCACTGCCGGCGTACGACGTCCTCAAGAACTTCAAGCAGCGGTGGCGGAAGGCGACCAAGCTGCGGGAGATGTTCGGCGGCAAGGCGGCGCACCGGAAGGACGACGCGCTGCTGAAGCTGGAGCGCATCCCCTGGATCCTCAGCCCCTCCAAGCGGCGGTCTGCCGCGGCCGGCGACGCCGACGCCGATGACGACGAGCGGGACCAGCCAGCCCTGCACGTGGTGCCGGACGGCGACCCGGAGCGGTGGCACGCGCAGGTGTTCCGATCCGTGGATGCCGGGTCAGTGAAGCGGTTCCCGCGGCCATGGGAGCGTGCCGAGATGGCGCGGCGCCACCTGGTCGGCGACAAGAACCTAGCCATAGAGCAGAGCATCCACACGGCGTACGTGGCGGCTGTTGGCGCCGGCTGCCGGAATGGCTGCGCCGACGGCGATCGGCAACGGCCAACGATCACTCTCTCCGCTCACGACGTCGCACAGGAACGCGAATGGGAACACGAGAGAGCAGTTTTGCGTCGCACAATGTCGCGACCTTTTCTGGCTTGCTTTCTTTGATTTATTTCGGTGCTACTGATCCACGATCTGAGATCCCCGCCACGCCCGCTCACGCTGCGTCGTGCCCGCCTGAAGCGCGGGAACGTTTCATACGTGGCGTGGCGAGAGAGTTCCTAGACCGCACCGTGAACGCAACATGGTTCTGGCCGTTTACACCGATTGATTACGTGCAACAGCTAGCTAACTTGATAATGTAAACGTGCTCATGCAACTAAACTATTTACATCATGGTTCAGGTGTGCACGGGATTGACGAGTTCAACATTTCACCCCCTAATCCCGCTGCACATCTACTACACCTAGCTGCTGACGAAGCTCCACAAACCTGACACGCCCGAGTGCCTTAGTCAGGATGTCTGCCAGTTGTTCAGTCGTCCCCACATGATCAATGTCGACTTCACCTCTATCGACACAGTCTCTGATGAAATGGTACCTCGTGTCGATATGCTTACTTCTGTCATGGTGTACAAGGTTCTTGCTCAACGCAATTGCTGATTTGTTGTCAACCAGGAGCCTCACCATTGGTGCCTGAATGCCTAGTAGTTCACCGAGCAACCGGCTGAGCCATATGCCTTGACAAGCTGCATTGGCACTAGCTATATACTCAGCTTCACAGGATGATAATGCTACCACCCTTTGCTTCTGAGATGCCCAAGTCACCAAGCTTGTCCCCAACAGGAACACTAATCCACTGGTGCTTTTCCTGTCATCTACATCCCCAGCCAGATCACTATCACTGAAACCAACCATTCGGTTGAGCCCCGCCTCTTGTAAACACAACCAAAGTGCACTGTGCACGATAAATACCTCAATATTTGTTTGATAAATTGCCCGATGACTTGCTTTTGGCTCCTCCATGTATCTCACGACAATGCCCACAAAGATATGCAATATCTGGTCTAGTGTTGACCAAATACCTCGGGCTCCCAATTATGCTCCTGTATTTGGTTTTGTCAACAGAAGGTGTTTTGTCATTCTTACTCAGCTTCATCTGTTTCTCCATCGAACAAAGACAAGAATTGCAACCCTTCATGCCAACTTGTTCTAAGATCTTGAGTATATGAGCTCGACACAACTTTGTTATTCCTACCTGTTGATCAACTTGAATTCCCAAATAATAACCGAAAGCAGTCCTAAGTCACTCATCTTTCAACCTGCCCATCATCTCCTTCTTGAACTGTTTCTATGCTTGCTTTACTTGAACCTGTGATTATCATATCATCAACATAAACTCCCACTAGAAGGAAACCATCTTGGTTTGATCTTCTATAAACAACATGTTCAAGTGGATTTTTCACAAAGCCAAGCCTCAACAGTTCACTGTCCAACTTAGCATTACATGCTCTTGGAGCCTGATGCAGCCCATATAGGGCCTTTTTCAGTTTTAGGACTTTATCACTGCTTCCTTTGACAACAAAACCTGGAGGTTGCTGAACATACACCTCCTCCCTCAAATCACCATTCAAAAATGCCAACTTGACATCCATGTGGTGCACTTGCCAACCCTTCTGTGCAGCCAACGCAATTAACAGCCTCACTGTTTCTATTCTTGCCACTAGAGCAAATACTTCATCAAAATCCACCCCCTCACGCTGTGCATACCCTTTTGCTACCAACCGAGCTTTGTGCTTGACCACATTTCCTTCTGGGTCTTTCTTTACTTTGAACACCCATTTAAGACCAATAGCTCGGTGGCCTGCTGGTAACACTGACAGCTCCCAAGTTTTGTTTGCCTGGATGGATTCCATCTCGGCTTCCATGGCTTTTCTCCAACAATTCTCACTCAATGCTGCCTCAACACTCTTAGGTTCCTCTGCTGCAAGATAGCATACTCCACTGTACTCAAAATCACCAATCTCATCAGTTGTGTCATTCAAATTATTCAGAGTTCGATACCTCAATGGCACTCCTTCTGAGTCGATAGATTCTCCTGTAGGTGGAGTTGCAAACTCAACTTCTTGCACTGCTGGACTGCCTGGGGGTGTTGACTGATTTGATGCAGCACTTGAGTCATCGTTGATAGCCCACTGATCTTGGGAGGGCGATCCTTGCTCCTGAAACACGGGACCAGCTGAAATGCCTGCTGCCTGTTCTGCATCTTCAATTACTGTTCCATTTCCGACAACAGAGAAATACTCAACATCAAAAGTAGGAACTGCCGGTTCGCTTCGAGCTCCTTCATTCCACAACCAAGCTCGATTTTCTTCAAACACCACATCTCTGGATATGTGGAGTTTCTTGGCTACTGGATCATAAACTTTGTAGCCCTTTGTCCCAGCTTCATAGCCGATGAAAACCATTTTAGTCGACCTGTCAGATAGTTTGTTAATCCCAGGCCCGACTTTCTTGACATGAGCTACACAACCAAAGGTATGCAAATGTTGCACCTTGGGCTTTCGGTTGTGCCATGCTTCATAGGGTGTCCTCCCTTGCAGACTCTTGGTTGGGGCATGGTTCAACAGATACACTGCTGTGGACACTGCTTCACCCCAGAATTCTCCAGGAACATTCTTGCTTTTTAGTAAACACCTCGCCATCTCTACCACAGTATGGTTTCTCCTTTCAACAACTCCGTTCTGTTGTGGTGTATAGGGAGTGGTAGTGAAGTGCTTCACACCATGCTCATCACAATATTCTCTAAACTCGATGGAATTGAATTCTCCACCTCTATCACTCCGGAACGCGCGCAGCTTGCCACCGCGTTCAGTTTCAGCAAGTGCCTTCACCCTTTTGAAACACCTGAAAGCTTCATCTTTTGTTGCCAGGAGCTCAATCCACATATATCGACTGTAATCATCAACCATGAGCAGAAAGAACTCTTACCACCTGGTGTTTTGGGTCTGATCTGTCCACAAAGATCTGCATGGAATAGATCCAGCTGCTTGTCAGCTCTGTAACTCGCCACCTGTGGAAATGGGTGACGTTGTTGTTTGCCAAGTGCACATCCATCACAGAATTCTTCTATCCTATCAATCAATGGCATGCCATCCACCATCTCTTTTACACCAAGCTCCCGAAGAGCCCGAAAATTCAGATGGCCATATCTCCCATGCCAAAGCCAAGCCACATCATCAACCTTTGCCACTAAACAAACAGGTGCAGCAAGCTGGGTTTTAAGCAAATACAATCGGTTCTTAACCCTCGGCGCTCTGGCTAGCAGTGAGCGCTCGACATCAAACACATTGCAAAAACCATCTTCAATCACAACCTTGCAGCCACCCTCCTCAAGTTAACCCAAGCTAACAATGTTACTTTTCAGTTTAGGAATATAGTAAACTTCTGTGAGTACCTTGTGCCCCGTTTTCTTGGCTTGGAGCATCACCGATCTGATGCCCTCGATCTCGACGAGCGATCCATCGCCGAAGCGCACCGTGACGCGCATCGACGTGTCCAGCGACATGAGCGCCTCGCGTCGCCCCGTCATGTGATTGCTGGCCCCCGTATCGAGGACCCAGACATCACGATCTTCATCGCAGTCGCCGGGATGAACCTTCTTCTCATTGAGATGCACGACCTGGCGCGTCATGCACCTCTCCGACGACTCGACGTCGCGCAGTTGAACGCGCACGGCGTTCACCGTTGCCAAGAGCGATGCGGCATGTTCGGTGTCGACTGCGGCGTGATGAGCCTCCTCCTCCTGCGTTCCTTTCTCGGCGGCCCTTGCGGTCTTCCTTCCAAAGGGCCGCCGATGCCACAGTTCCTACACCGCCCTTTCCGCCTCGGAGTGCCCTCAGACGTGAACCTGGGGGTGTGTTCTTTCTTCTCGCCGCGGTCACCACGTCCGCCACCACCGCCGCCCTTCGGCTTTCCAGACCTCCTCTCACTCCCAGTCGACGACGAGGACTCCGGCAGGAGGCGATGACGATTCCTCGCTGCCCAATCCTCCTCAGTCAACAGGAGTTTGCCGGCCTTGTCTGTGACGGCCTCGACCCCGAACCGGTCCTTGGCCATCTTGAGTCTGCCGACGAGGTCTTCAATTGTTAGCGATTTCAGATCGAGCAAGGTCTCGATTGAGATCGCGATCTGCGTGTAGCATTGGGGCAACACACGCGACATCTTCTTCACCACCCGGATCTCCTCAACGCTCTCACCAGATGTGCGCGTTGATGCGCATGGCGAACTCATCCACCCTCTCGCCGTCCTTGAACGCAATGTTCTCGAACTCTCGGAGCAGCCGTTGGGCGTTGGCCTCTTTCACGCGTTCAGCTCCAACGCGCATGCTTTTCACCGCCACCCACGCCTCCTTGATGGTTTTCTTCGCCCCCAACATCTGCCACATCTCCTGAGGCACAGATCGAAGGAGCGCGCCCATGGCCTGCCGGTCTTGCGACCGCTTCACTCCTTCGCCGCCGGGCTCGATCGTCTCCCAGATCTCCAGGGTCTCGTAGTTGCATTGCATGAGCATCGCCCACTCCGTGTAATTGGAGCGGGTCAGCATCGGCCACATGAGCCGTGGATGAGAATCGATGAATAGATAGGGTGCGGTGGTTTCCCGTATGCATGCAGTGGTTTTTTAATAGGTGGGTCCTGGTTTTAAACTAAGATTATATTTTTTTTGACAAGATTTGAATTGTAGGATTACATTCTTTTTATGACGAAGAGAATACATAGCCAACTAGTACTGTACGAAGGTAGATATATATACAGGTATCTATTTGGAATGAGCTAAGTCTATAGTCACTAGTTAGATGTTAAAAAATAGCTTAAATTAGGGTTTGTTTGATGCATGAGCTAATTGCTAGCTAGCTAAAAGAGCTCTAGTGCGTCCAAACATGAGAGCAAATAGGTGACCTAATTTAATTTCTAACTAAGTCTTTAACTACTCCCTCTGTTCCTTAATAAATAGATTTCTAGAGTTCTCTTAAGTCAAACTTTTTAAACTTTACCTGAATTTCTAGAAAAACATGTCAAGATTTATGACATCAAATTCTGCCAGCTTCCGAATCAGGTACGACTAAGCTCAGCTCGGCGGCCCAATGCAACCCAGTATATATGCATCTG